CATTTTTTGCATATTTTGCATTTTTCTTAAAGGAGATGCTTGGCCTGCGTTGTTTTTGTGGTTTGTTTTGTTTTGAAATGCTATTCTTTCTGTGTGTTTTTCCAAGTTGTATTTGACTGGAGCTGTCTACAGCTTGGATGGTTCTGATAGCCTGAAGGAGACTATGCAGACCAGCGTTAACCAGCCACACCAGGTATGTGAACCACGTTTTATTTCTGTCTGGTTCTTCAAAGTGTCAACTTCTGGAGTGTTTTGTTTGTCCCCCATTCCTCCCTGCCTCCTCTCCCCTTTTCATAACTTTATGGAAATTGTACTCAGATGCCACCATTCCAGATTCTTCAGACCATGTATTTTACCCAGTTCTATGTATGAGTTGAACAATACTCTTTCCTGTTACCTCATATAGTGACGTTTGTATTTGCAGAATGAAGATGGACCAAATGATGACGTGCAGCACGTTGGCATCACGGCCAAGACTGTTCCTCGTCAGGCTCAGCAGGCTGCAGAGAGCCTTGGCGTTGAACTTGCAAGTTTGCTTCTGAGCAAGGGAGCTAAACATATCCTTAGTGTTGCAAGGCAGCTCAATGATGCGCGCTAAACCCGTGCTGCAGCGGGCACGACTGCTGCAACTGTTGCTCAGGCCTCTGCAGCAACTGTGTTGTCATTCTTTGGGAGAATGGATTTATTTAAGCATTCACATCAGTCTCATCTGGTGTGTGGACATAAAACTTGAAATACAAAGTTAACCTGTGAGTACTTTCAGGGATTTTGTCCCATTCTGTGTTTCTCCAGCTCACAAGCTATCTCTGTGAGGTTCATTTCAACTATTTGATTTTTGTCACTAGAAAGTCCACAAAACTTGGGAAATGTGCCTCTATGGCATGTAGGAGTAAGGAACCGCATACCAATTATAATCAAAGACTAAGCTGTGACAGTACTTTCCATACTTCCAGTAGTTACGGAACTTGCCTAATGCTCTGAATACGATTTGCGCCTGTTTCCACCTCAGAAAGGTTCACTGAAGGGAGCAAAATTATTAGGCTTCTAATATAGGGTTCTTGGTGGCAGATTCCCAGGGACACTATGTTCATCATAGGTCTTGCTTAAAGAATTAAGTTTGAAGTATTGGATCTAAACTTGCCACCAGGCACTAATCTCAAGTATCTGGATGGTTAATGGATATGCCTGCATAGATGCTGGCTGAGATGGTTGTTTTTGTACTATAACCGGTCTAAGCTTGAAGGGGCTGACCATGCCCTTCTCTGCAGCTGGTGCTCAGTCCCTCATGCCAAGGTCTGGAGGAGCTGACACTTTCGCTTCCCTTTGCAGAGCTCCTGCGCTAGGGCCTTGTAGGAACGGCAGGAACAGCGACATGGCGCCTTACCGGGGCATTGTTGTGGAAATGAAGCATTGTTTATTCCCGGGGCGCCGTCCACTGAATGTAGTGGCCGATAAATACAGTTCACGGAGGCCGGGCCCCGGCGCCCCTTCTGTGCAGCGGGAGGGCGGCAGCGGCGCGCGCGGCCCCGCGCTCCCTTCGTGCCGCGAGCGCCCGGCCCGCCCCGCGGCCCCTTCCCCCGGACCCAGCTCTCCCGGTGAGCAATGTGGGTGGCCCTGGAAACGGCCG